TTGGTAACCTATTTTTAACCTAAACGAAAAAACGATTTTGAGCGACAGACTGGAATACTCAGGTGGCCGATAGAGTGTGATGTTATTGGTTTAAATAACTGACCATCCATAGAGATGTGTTTATGTGGTTATTCTTTTCTCTCTCTCTCCCAATTTCTGTCGTTTAAAATATCTTTAATAAAATTCTGACTGATGTTCTCTGATTTAAATTTAAGTTGAACTAATAACAGTAAAGTATAACAGAATTGAAAAATAAATGGAAGAGAAAAGAAAACAAATTCTACTTCTGTTAAAAGACGGCGAATATACAATAATAACAGAATCACCGTCGGGAGCCGAAGGCAAATTTTGGTCTATTTTGAGAAGAATAAAAGATTCAAATGAGTCATTTCTCCCATTCGTTCAATGTTCAATATGCAATCAATTGTTAACCTATAAACCTCAAAACGGGATCACAACTATTAGTGGGCATGTTGCGAACGGTTTGAAAAGTTCAGCAGTTAAAACAACAACAAATTCAATTGATAAATATATGAAGAAAGATTTGAAAGTTACTCCAGATGAAAAACGTTCGATTACAATAGCGTGTGCAAAATATTGTGCATTTGATATGCGATTATTTAATAGTGTGGAAGGTAAATCTTTGTCGTTTCAGTTATTATGTAAATCATTAGTCGATCTTGGTTATCGTTATGGTACTGCCAAAATTGGCATTCCAACACAGACAAGGCACAAGCGTGCATAGACGAAGTTCTGGCTTGGTGTGAAACGAATTTTGTCGCTTTATACGTTTCAAAATGTGAATGGATGTTGTTTGCTACTGTATCTAACGTATGTCCAACAATGTCTTTAAAGATGAATGATCATATAATTCAGCGTGCTGTTTTTCTTAAACTTCTTGGCGTTAGATTGACGCATGATCTATCGTGGAAATGTCATATCGACAATATAGCTTCAAATTGTCGAAAAATGCTTGGCTCCATTTCCCGTGTCTTCCACGATTCTCCTAATTCTCTTCGTCTTCATCTTTATAAAATCTGCGTACGTCCAACTTTGGAGTACTGCTGCATTCTATATGATACGTCTTACATTTCTCATCTCTCTGTGTTAGATAACGTACAAAAGTTGGCTTGTAGAATAATCCTTAGAGATTATGACAGTCGTTCCTCGCAACTTCTCACTCGGCTAAATTTAGCGCCGCTCTCCGCTCGTCGAAAATATTTTCGCCTTGGTTATTTTCACAAACTATACAACGGGAGAAGTGCTTTGTCTGCTAGAAACCTAATTACTTCGCCAACAAATCGACGGTCGTCTAGAATAACGCATGATAAACAAATTCAAAAACCTTACTGTTCCCTAAAGTCTGCTTCGGGGTCATCTTTTCCCCGTACCTCTGACGACTGGAATGTGCTACCATGCACTGTTGTGAATCAAACCAGTCACAGAATCTATAAGGGTCTTTTGAAGCAGCAGCTTCAACTTTTATGATTTATCTGTTACTTGTTCTTTTAGTATTTCTTTATTTCTTCAGTTTTTTCGGTGTTGCATTAGCATAAGCTAGCCTTTCTTTGCAACAACCATGCTTGCAAAAATAAAAATTCAGTTCAGTTCAGTTCAACAGCAGCAGCACTGTTACCTGATCCCACAAATATATCACGTACAGTTAAACAACTCAGCGAAGAATATCGTTTGAAACTCAAAGAAATTGTTCAAGCTGATTTGAAAACTGTTAGATTAATTGGAATTTCCACCGATTACTGGAAAAATATCTATACATCCGATAACTATCTGACCGTTAATTTGCATTACACAAAGGATGATAAACCAATTACGTTCATGCTAAA